AGACATTGTAAATGACAGAACCATCCTTTGGTGGAGAAAGAGCCCTGAACAAGGTAGATGCAGGATCAGTCAGCTATTAGTCATCAATGGCCCTGCATCCAGGCTTCTGTGGCTGGGAGAGGCAAAGAACCCGGAGATCCACATTTTAGAGTATTGCTCTGTATACAGGGTCCGGCAAAAGTAACGCCTGCTTGAGTGTGGTTGGCAGGGTAACAATATGGGTATAATTAATTGTAGTTTTAATTTGAACATTTCACCTAAAATGTCATACGGTTTGCTTGAGTATGATACTGTTATGTTACAGAATTACATGCTTATGACTGTGTAGTAAAAGATTTTGTAATGAAAAGGGGCGTTATTTGTACCGGACCCGGCGTGCCAACATTGGCGAGCCCTGTCATCCAAAAAGCCCCCACCAGTCACCTCCCCGTTGCCATTTCACACCTAGTGTAACTGACACACACACACCCTCAAACACCTTTGGGGAAGATCACACTTCAGGGAAGAGTCCCATGAAGAAATCTGTATCTGTGTAAAGCCTATGTTTTATTATGAATTACATGAAAGATGTATGCATATATACATACTTGTGTCCTGAAAATAACAGATTTTATTCCCCTGCAGAAGGAGGCAGCTACCCGTGATCAAACACCACAAGACAGGAATTCAGGTCTTTTAACCCCCAGGCATGGCCAACAGGTTGATTAGGGGCAGTGATGCCAGGCCGTGTGGCCATCTGCCTCCGCTACGGGGAACAGGCAGGGGCAAGGGCGGAAGCTTGGAGCCCAGTGACCTTTTGGAAAAGAAAACTTCAAGAGTCATTAGAGGGCATCTGGTGCTCAAAACAAGAGAATAAGAATCCACAGCACCTAATTTAACACTGGACATAAAAAAAATTTGAGGTAGACGTCAAGATTTCTGAAAATGGCCTGGGAGTGAAGGGTATGAAGTCAGGCCTGTAACACTATAATCGCACTAAGTTTTTATCTTTTTCCTTTTCATGGTTTATAATTACAATGACAACAGTTCCCTAAAGCGGTGTGAAAAGTTTCAAGCGAGTGTCTTAAGTGGGATATTTGGGTTTTCCATCCCGCACGCTGGTCAGTCACCAGTGGTGTGGATCGGGGTTGGGGGGAGAGGGCCGAGGGGAGGCAGGTCACTGGGGTGAAATTAAAGGGCATCTGCAGATGGCGCACTACAACCTCAACGCAGTTTAAGTCCTGGAAAGTGGCTCCTGTTATGGAATCTCTTCTCTCGTGAGAACGCGTGGACGCTGCAAGGCGACTCTGGAAGCGGCCAGCTGCCCGTGAGGGTGTGTCAGAGTTGCCAGGCCTCTGAAAGAATGCACCCCCTTGGCCGGCGTGGTGTTTGACATCGTCTGGCCACTCACGCTTTCTGGAGGCTTCCTGGTTCAGAGGCTTAGTTGGACTGGGCGAGGAGGGACTTCCCTCCAACACCCAACACGGAGACCTCAGCACTGGGGGTCTATCAGGTCAGCTACTCATCTGCCTGCAGGGCACCTGAAGGCTGTGCGTGTCAGGAGGGGATGCAACGGGGGGGCACGGGGATGGGGCACTTCCTGGGGGCAGCGCGAGGACACCAGCACCCAGAGGCAGGGATGGTGTCCGAGATACTCTCTACTCAGAGGCTCCGGTGTTGCCATTCTAGGACGGCTCTGAAGGCCAAAACCATGATCCTAACAGCGCAGTTGAAAAACCCACACAGCCTAATGAATGATGAACCTGACCAAAACGCCCAGCACTTTCTCGCACTGTGCTCAGCTGACTTCAACCACAAGATGGCAGGCGTGGGCGGGAGATCGCCCGGGGCCCAGCCCAGGACGCCTCTGGAGAGCAGAGCAGAGAGCAAGCTCCCACCGCCCAGGTCAAGCACCATCACACTTTTAGCTGCGACAAGTTACACCCTTATCGAGGAGACAGGTTCTCAGTGGCTCTACCATCCACTTAAGGATGGGGATAGAAAAATATGTAGAGAATATGTAGAAAATCTTGACTTTCTATTTGTTTTTACTGTGAACAGTAAGTTGTTTAAAAAAAACCCCAAACTATCCTAATTTCATTGGTTTCTCTTTGCAGTGTTGAAGAGAAAGTTTGAAAGTTTTGAGTTGGAGGCCCTGAATTCTAGTCCTTACTCTTCTCTTCAGAAGATAACTTGACCCCAGGAAACTACCTGCTGGAGCCTCAGTTTCCTCCTCAGGACAACGAGAAAACAGGAGCCTGGGATGCGCCCGGGGTACCGCCCAGAACCCAAGTCATGACATGAAACAGCACGTGGCAGCAGCAGGCCGAGAAGGATGAAGTGGGCACAGAGATGCTTCATTTACACGGCGTCCTCGGGGAACCGGCTGTTCCACGTGACAGGTTTTCCAGATAACTGAATTTTAAATGTTGAAACTTGTTTTCCTTTTTAACCTTCTATAATGGAAGTCTTTCTACAGTGTAGGACGTGTTTCTCTAGCTTCTTAAACAGCAAGTGGAACATAATTTAACCCGGTGCGAGCATCTCCAGGTCATCGTGGTGGCCGCTTCTCCCCACAGGTGCAGTCCTGAAGGGGGCGCCGGCACCTCGGGCACCCTCAGACAGGCAGGGCCTCGTGCGGGATGGCCCCAGAGACCGTGCTGTGGAGCTATAATTGGTAATTCTTCCTTTCTTCGATCTGTACTGCTACCTGCCATCATTTCTCCAAGTAACACCTTCCAGAAGCTTCTTGACACTCTGTTTAAAATCTGCTATAACCTAGAGAGAAGTCAAGGTTGCCATGGGTAACCGGAGTCTGAGCTTGCAACAACCCTAAATTTAATTTTACACACAATTTAAAGGCAGTGGGTACTGTGCTAAAGGTTACTCCTGGCCTGGGCTGATCTTCAGCTAATCTGCCCAAGATGGGAGGCTTCTGGGTGGCTAATCGCCCTGAGCCCCAGGCCCTCTGACCAGCCCAGTGCCCTGTCCTTGCACGTGCCAGCCTTCTTCCCAATTGGCTGGTGCCCACGCCATACTGGTTGCTCAAGATTGGAATATCACACTGGCTTCTGGATTGAAGATTATTCTCTTTTCTGCTGACGGAATTGCCAGAGTTGGAGGCTCTTCTCTGACCCTCATACTGAAAGCCATTTCCTCTGCTGCAGGCTGAGCCCTGGGTTCAGGTCATCTAAGCCAACCAGGTGGGGTGTTAATAGCTACCTTTGATGGAATAGCACGCGTGTGCCAGATGCATATTCAGTACATTATATAAATCATCTTATCTCATCCACTAATGGACCCTGTTGGGGAAACAGCCTCAGCCTCCTGTGGCTGAGGAACTTGCCCTGTCACACGGCCAATAAGCGGGTCTGGAAACCAGACCCACCTCTCTGAGGCGTGTTCTTTGCACTATGTCCTGCTCAAGTTTATTAACGTACAAGAAAGTCCAGTCAAGGGTCACATCCTGAAAAATATATTTTAAGTGAAACACGGGCCCTTTTATTTTTCAGAAAAGGCTACTTGTTTTTGGTGTGTGGGTTGCGTTTTAATTAATTCCACATTGAGTTACCAATTTGGAACAATCTGTCCTCCGGGAACAGATCTGGTTTACTTATAGAAAGCTAGCGGAGGGAGGGACAGACTGTGGTTATAAAGTATTTGGAGGAACTAATCGAAAAAAGCTTTCCCAGTTCTCCCTGCACCAAACAGAATAGAACATTCCAGAAAGTCTCATCTTCCCAGAGTAGGTGGGATAGAGCTCACAAGCAAACACTCAGCTAGGCCTGCAAAATGGAGCATGTGACATCAGACACAACTACAATCCCTCTCATCCCAAAAAGTCCTCTAGAAGTTCACTCCAGGGCGATGCTGTCACCACTCAGGACAACGAGGGGCCGTCGGAGCCACGGGGGAAGCCCAGAGGCAGGCTGCGGACCTCGGGAGCCTCAGCCAGCCAGCAGCCAGGAACAGGGCCTGGAACTGTGGGGCAGTCCCAGTTTTAGCTTTGGAACTAGTTCTGGGGTGCAGACGGATGTCAGACCCACGGCTGTGAACCCGGTCGTCTCCCCAGGGATACACTCTTCAAATGGACTCTCAGCTAATTTTTAAAATGAGCAAACCATGACCTCATCTTCCACATTTTGCACCTGCTCCTCCCACCGTGCGCACACACATGACTTTCAGTGTCCTCTTCCAAAAACATGCACAGAGCTCTACAGCTTCCATGGCAACTCTTGTCAGGGAGGAGCCCCAGAGAAAAGCTGACCAGCCATAGGTGGCGGGGTCGAAACATCACATGCATTAGTTTTCTAGGGCTGCCATAAAAGGACCACACATTGAATGGCTTAAACAACAGAAATTTATCATCTCTCAGTTCTGGAGGCTAAAAGTCCAAGATCCAGGTGTTGGCAGAGCCATGCTCCCTCTGAGGTGACAGGGAAAGACAAGCCCCGGGCCCCGGTCCCAGCTTCCAGTAGTTCCTGGGCTTGTGGCAAAATGACATGGCCTTCGCCTTGTATGCATGTCTTTGCTGTTTTTATAAGAACACTAGTCACATTGGCTCAGGGGCCCATCCTACTTCCATATGACCCCATCTCAGGTAATGGTATGTGCTACGGCCTTAATTCCAAATAAGGTCACATTCGGAGGTACCAGGGATTAGGCCTTCTGCCTATACATTTTGGGGCAACACAGTTCAACCCATAACGTCACCTAAGGCAGTTTTGAATTCAAAATCAAACTGAAGAGAAGGAACAGAATGATCTGCCCAAAAGACTGCCTCACGGTATAATCGCAAGTAATAGCATGGACGATTAATCATGTTGGCAGGGTGGGCGGGCAGCCGATGTGTGGACCCCTGAAATCTCTGCTTACGAGAGGGAATCGAGGAGACTGTTGGCCGTGGAGCAGAGAGGTACACTGGGTTCTCTGCAGAACCCTCGCTGCTCCTCACCACTTTTAGGACAAAACTCACCTGGGCATGTGTGAAAGTTCAGTGTCGAAGGAAACCGCCCACTCACCTGGCCCCGCTGACATCCACGCCGACCATCAGCTGCCCGTTCAGGGAGAGGATCTCGTCGCGCAGCCGCACCTTCCCGCTCTTCCCGGCCGGGCTGTTCTTCCTCAGCTCCGTCACCCAGATGCAGCCCACGTCCAGCACGGGGCCCTGGTGGGTCTTCCGCTTCTTGCCCCCCCTGCGCTTTTCTCCATAGTCTCCGAAAACAGGGATGTTCCCAAAACTGAGGCCCACAGTGTCTGTGTCCCCCAGCTCCTTGGAGAGGTACACAGTACAGATCTCCATCCCCGGGGGGCTGTGGTCGGGGCGGACCACACCCTCATCCACGGCGAAGTTCAGCTGGATGTACTCCTGCAGCTTCTGGATGGCCGCCTGGCACAGCCGCTGCTCCGGCCCATCCCCGCCCTCCCGCACGCTGTTCTCCAGCCACCGGCAGAGCAGGGGCAGGTGCAGCCCGGCATTGTCCTGGGTGATGGGCATGGTGCTCACTCCCGGACTCCAGCATCATGAGAAGACCTGCTCCTGGGGGCCGGGCCCCATGGGGCCCCACGTCCCTTGGGAACCCTGGCTGTCATCGGCTTTGCCTGTATTCATGTCCAGGCTTGCAGACGAGGGATGCCGGTGTGATGCGGGCCGTTGGCCTTGGCAGCAGGAGGCCAGGCCAGGCCTGGAGTGCTCAACGACAGAAGGGAGGAAGCGCCCAGCAAGGCTTTGCTCTGTTCACATCACAGCGGGGCCCGTGCAAATGACCCGGAAATGGTATATCCCTTCATCCGCCACAGCATGACCTGCTTGGATTCATTCACACCTGGAAGAGGAGAAAACAAAAAATCCCTTCTAGTCACAACAGTGAGCCTTCTGACATAGAACACACGGCCTCTTGTATTACAGAAGGGCAACGTTTGCTTTCTGGGCCAGAAGCCTAATGCCTCTACCCATTCCCCAGCGTGGCTCCCTCCACCCAGTATACACAGACACACACAGAGACAGAGAAATGGACACACATACACACACCCCCTTCCCTCCCATAGAAACCTCTGGAACACTGATCTTCTCCAGGAAGTTTCCCTGATTGACAGGTAAATGAGATGACTTTTGCCAGGTCAACCCCTATCAAGCCCACATCCAATCAGAAGACTACGTGACAAGACTCCTTAGAAAATCATAGAGGGGTCCGGACGTAGTTAAGACCTTACATTCCTGGGAAGTTGAAATCTATCTCCCTTTGCCTTGATCTGTCCAGCTGCATACACGAGAAGGCTCTCCGATCCAGAACTATGTTGTCACAGTGCTAAGAGGAGGAGGAGCCAGGCAACAGCACAGAGAGACTCATGCTCGGCCCAAGGACCCCACCAGCCCTGAGCTGAGCCGTGGGCTCCACCTGCCATCGTGCAGAGCCACAGGGAACGCTGTCCCTTGGCACCCACCGCTCTCAGGCTCCTCAGGCTCCTCTCTTCTTTTCCTTGGGAAAACTGTTAAAACCAAGCTACCCTTAGGCCAATCCAAAGCCCTCTCCTCCAGAGAAATGTCTCTCCAAGCTTCTGGGTGAGAGGGCTCGGCTGCTCCCTGACGTGTGCTTTAACGCGCGACTTGGAGCAGCGACGCGCTCACTGGCTGCAGGGTCAGCTGCCACAGGAGGCCAGTGCCGTCTTCCCCCACTGAATTTGGCACAATGCTTAGCCCGCCACTGTCCCCCGAGTGAAAGGCTAATTGAATTTCATTACCAGTTCGTCCTCTCCACCAAAGAAAATTTTCACCTCCATTCCCTGTCAGTGCAGAAAAATGACCCCTTTCACTCTTTTCTCTGAACTTCACTTTCCCCCAAAGTCAATATAAACTGGGCCATCGAAGATGGAAAACATTCTTCGCCTTCTCAGGAAATGATTTAACAAGAAATAATAATAAATGGGAGAGGTGTCAGAAGCCACGTCAATAATAAATAACCTTATTACTCAGTAACTGTAAAGAAACGTCTAGTATTGTAAGTTTTGATTTTCCGAAGAACTTGAGTGCCAGCTATTAATGGGTTCCAAATAAATCAGAAGCCTAGCAAACATCATCTACATAATCACATGCCTATTAAAAAGAAATGCAAAAGCAAAGAAAAGATAATCCATAAATGCACAAAAATAGAATGTTCCCTTTGGCCAAAATAAGTAACACCTCTCACTGAAAAGTAATGCCACACAGACATATTAAAATCTTATGAATAAATGAAAGCATTTTCCATCGGGCCTAGCAACCTCTCTGAGTCTCCTTTTCCTCATCTGTAAAATGAGAAAGTTAGGCTAAATGAACTCTAAGGCCCCTCCAACTCCATGGACAGACCCTAAAATACAGTGACCAAGTTGTATTCAGCAACATACTCCCTACCCTAGCACAGTGCCTATCACCTTGCATGCTCTCAATGACTTAAAACGATTTTTTAAAAGAGCCTTTAAATTTAAATTTTAAGGGTCTGTGATTCAAGGTATTAGTCTCAGCTCCAATGGTTCCATGCATATGAAAACAGTAAATATTTTGGACGAGATACTCTTTAAATAAATCTGATTGAAGAAAACCAAACTTCAGAGCAAAAGAGAATTTGTGTTCCTGAAGTCAACTTGTATTCATTCAATACATATTTATTGAATCTCAATTAAGAGCCAGACCTTGGCACTGGGAATATACTGTCAATAAGGCAAATTCCTTGTCCTGAAGGAATTCCTAGTCTAGTGGGGAGATACCTAAATAAATGGAAACTAGTGTGTATTACATCTATGGCAACTCTCTTAACAGAATGGACAAAGGTGCCTCCAGGCAGCCATGCTCATGTGATATAAGCCCCCAGCCCCTGGCGCGGGAGTCGGAGCTGGGCATCTCGTACAAGCTGGAACAGAGTTCTGTCCTGAGAAGTGAGTACTGGGGCCTAGAGAGCAAGAGTCTAGTCTCAAGTGTGTGGTGGTGAGAACTATTAACTTGTGATCTAGGGATTGTAGATGGCAATATTCTACTGGGTGTGTTAACCGAGGGGCAAAAAGCCATGGGGCCAAGAAAAAGAATTGTTCAGTAGAAGGAAGAGGGGCCAGGCTGGGGAAGAGTATGCTCTAGCTCCCCACAGCAACCCTGGCCTTGGCTTCAGCTCTCCTGGGTGGCGTGCCGTGCTGACCTCCTCTCGGTCTGAAAGACCATAGCTATCCTGAGAATAAATTATATTTTAAAAACTTACCTACTTAAAAAAAGAAAAATGATAAAAACTAAACTAAAAAAACACCTTTAAACAAAAATAAAGTTTACCTTGAGTGGTTTTCCATACTTTGCACCTCAAAAGTTGTCAGATGATGCACTGGAGGTGAGCAAAGACAATCGGCTCAGCTTGGAGCCGTTGTCCATCTGTGGACCAGACGGTTATGGCCGAGGGGATAGAGTCATGAGGCACCAATATGGCTGCCAGGGGTATATCCTCTGGCCCTGCATGTGGGGAGGGCAGGGACAGAGTTTTCAGAAGATGAAAAATTGTTTCAAGCTCACGGATACCCTCAAAGACAGTCTTGCTTTGATGTTCATAGGCAACACAACTTTTTAATTCCATACCTATAATTGCGAATTTTCCAGTAATACTTCCAGCTCCTTATTCTAGCAACTCTTTTTCCTGGGACTTTCTGTAAAAAAGGGAGGTAGAGGTATTCCCATCCATCTCAAAAACTGGAGATGACTCAGGTTTTAGAAAAGATACACACTTTAGCAATACTATGGAAAGCATGGTCCTTCCACGACATCCATTGAAACGTTCCAGTGACCACAGGGTTGACCCAGAGAAGATACAGAAGAACAGAGACCTGCAAATGGTTACAAACACCAACATCCCTGTTTGCCTGATCCCACAAAGGCCTAAAACCTTCTCATCCTGAAGATCAATCCACATCAACTGTGAGCAGAATTTGTGGACGTGAAGGTCCACTGCATGGTCCAATTCGCTTCTCTCTATCGTATATAATTTTCTAGTTAGCGCCTCATTTCAAGCAAATAGCCAAGATAATTTAATTTAATTTTGAGTAGCCTGAAGCTGACAGCCTTAGCATTCAAAATAAATGCTTCTGTTACTGAGGTAATTTATCAATACTGTGTTGAGCATCTACCAACTTCCTTGGATCCCCTTTGAACGAACTCACGCATTCACAACAGGGTGATGTCACTCACAATGGGGTGAAAACTAGTTCGAGGGTGGGCGGCCATAAAAGTCTTAGATACTATAAAGGCTGGTCCCCCCTGCCACAAAGCTAAATCATATCTGAAAAAACAAATCTTACTCCTTAGTATTTAATTTCTGTGTTTGAGAATTAAATTAAATTTAATTTTAAAGCTAATAAAATTTAAATAAATTAAATTTTTCCTCCAGGATGAGAAGGGGACAAGAGTGGAAAAGACTGAGGAACTCTGAGCTAAGTGAAGCCAATCGCCTGCCCAAAGGCACGGGCCCGGAGTCTTCGGAAATCCAGAGGCTAAGCCCCGGACCTGACCTTGCCTCAAAGCCAGATTCACGGCAGGCCCTCTTGTGCAAGCTTCCCTCTTGCAAACTGTCCTGGGTTCTCGTCGTCCTCCTCTTCTGACCTCCGCTACGTTCCAACTTCCTAAACCTTCACCTCGTTTTCCTACCTTCTGGGTTGGGCTCCCCTCTTGACTTTTAGAAAACGCTCACATTTTAAAAGAAAAACAACGTTGATTAGGTATCTACTAGTCATTCATTCAACAGATGTTCATTGAGTGCCTATCACGTGTTGGGGCCTGAACAAAACAGACAGGAAATAATGGCAAGTTAGTCAACTTAAAATACTACAATGTCAGAGGCTAATTAGTACCATGCGGAGGACTGCGGTCTGTCAGAGGCTAGTGAGTGATGCGGGGGTGGGGGGATTCGGAAAGGCTCCTCTGAAAAAGACTTGAATAAAGTGAGAGGCTGAGGAGAGAGTGCATCTGTGGGAAGGCTGTACTCAGACAGCAGGCGCAGACTCCGAGGTGAGAGCCTGTGAGGATGCCTGAGGAAGAGAGACCCCTGCTGAGCTGCATGCTTCCCCACGGTCTTATTCTCTCCCCCAACCCTCACACCCACCTTAGAAAACAAGGGCATCTGACCCCATCTCACCAACATCGGCAGGCTGTCAATTGGCAGCTGTTACTGAGTTCCTACTTTGATTTGGGGGCACAAAAACAACAATGAAAAAAGAAAAACAACAGAGCATGTTTCTGCCAAAGAATGAAATGCACACAGGAGTTCATACAATGAACTCCTACCATGGGACTCCAGGTGTTACAGACAAACCCACAACGGACTGAGAAACTGCGAATATGAATGCTCGTGAATGACTCGTTTAGGTTGGCTTATGTTTTGGAAGAGCAAGGTACGGGCTAATTTTGTTTTGTTTTGTTTTGTTTTGTTTTAAGAGTATAAATAAAAGTTCCTTGTACAAAATTAAGGCCTTCCTATTTCATAGTTCACTAAG